CGCTCTTTGTCCTGCCTGCCTGCGGGGAGGCGCAGCTTGCTGGGCCCGGGGGGACTGCTGTCCGGAAAGTTCTTTTTGTCTCGCCCGGAGCAGCTTTTCTCGCATCGGGCTGCAAACGCCGTACCGGGAGGAGACTCCCTGGCGGATATGGGGGCTTGCTGTGAATCCTGGGGTGGCAGGGGGCTCTCAGGGCAGCACTCACTGCGCACGAGCGCCGCGCCCCTTGATCATCCCGACAGGAAGCCAGGGAGCCCTGCGGAAATGGAGGCTGGCGAGTGGGCAGGGATCCTCCGGTCAACCCATCCAGTCTTCTGATTGAACCCCGGCCACTGGCTCTCAACCTGCTTACCACTGCGGGCTGCATGCAGCTCTCTGTGCTCTGTGGGCCGCAGCCACGCAACATAGAGAGAAACGCTACCTGTGCGGCCCTCGGGTGCCCCGTGGACCGCCGCCACGTGCCCACTGGGGAGTACTGGCCTACACTCAGCTTGCCAGTACAAAGCAGTTGTCCCTTTTAGGAATGCAAAGGGTAACTGGTTAACTGGTAAGCCGTGTGTTACCAGCATGGGGTAACCGGTTAACTGGTAAACCGTGTGTTACCAGCATGGGGTAACCAGTTACCTGGTGAGCAGCGTGTTACCAGCATGGGGTAACCGGTTACCTGGTGAGCAGCGTGTTACCAGCATGGGGTAAGTGGTTAACTGGTGTCTGGCCTGGCCGGAGCACTTGCACGCTGCGGATGGGGGGGCTTCTCCAGCCCGGCGGGACCCACCACTCCACAGCGTGCTGGTTAACTGGTTAAATGTCTAGTTTAACAGGTTAACATTTGAAATGAGATTTTACATCCCTAGTCCCTCTAGCAGCTCCAGGGAGTCGATAGCAGTTGCAGACACATCATGAATGCTTTCCCATACGCAGCATTTTAGGAGCAGTTGACTTTCTGCTTTGTAATGAAGAGATGTTTGTTAGCACTCTCTGTCTGAGCCTCTGCAGACACTCGCTACACACTCACGAGGCCTCCCAGCCACCCTGCAAATGAACTCCCTTTTTACAGATGGGGAAATGGAGCACAGAACAGTGAAGAGATTTGACCAAGGACACGTAGCAACTCAGTGGCACCGTGGGGAAAAGAACCCGAGCGTCCCTGGCCCCAGGCACTAGACACTGTCTTTTTGTAGGTCCCCAAGTCAGTTAGATGTTCCCCTCTTTTGAAATGGAGACTCCCTCGTGCAGACATCTGGAGAGCAGCAACTGCCCTTTGTTTTACCGTCCCATAGCTTGATGCGTCCACTCTGGAGGAGGTGTTACCGCCACCCCAGGATCCAGCTTCAGGGAGCTTGGAGCAAGGGCTGGGGTCTCTGGGGGAGGGGTTCCAAGTTGCAGCCGGTGCTTCCACGGAGCATCAGTTACGAATAACTGACAAGCCGGCGAGCGGAGCTGGAGTGTAGCCAGTAGCGTTGGTGTGTATAGAATAAATCACGGTCCGCTCCCATCTGCCCTGCTCCCACGGGCCCTGCACAGAACGGCTCTGGAAGCTGTTTAAACAAGCAAGGGGGGGCAGAGAAGATGTGTCTGGTGGACTGGGGGGGTCTCCGCCTCCCAGGGCAGACCGCTCCCTGCCGTGGTGGGGGGGGAGTTCTCAGCTTCTGCTCCTGTCTCTTTCCCAGCAGCCAGCGGGTAGGACATGCTGGTGGCGATGCACTCACCAAGGGGACGCTTACGCGGGGCTGTTTTTTCCATAGGATCGATGCAGAAAGCTGCCCCCAACTGAGATCTTTTCATCCAGCTCCTGCCCAAAGACTCGGCTCCCTTCCTTCCACCCAAGCATTTGTGTTCCTCCGTGGCTGGCGTGGACATCCTCCTCCGTCCCACGGTACCACAGCCACCTTCACAGAGACCTGCGGGTGGGGAAGTCCCCAAGCAGCGGGTAGAGCATCAGATCAGCCTGCGTCCTGTCTTCAGAACATCCAGTTGCTTTGCAGGTGGCCACGCAGCTTCTTGGGGTGGGTCATTGGGCTTGGGGCCTGGCCAGGAGAGCGAACAGGAGGGAGGGTAAGTCTGCACTGCCACCCCAGTTCGAACTAGGCTGGCTAATGTAGGCATTGAACTTGCAAATGAAGCCCGGGATTTAAATATCATTTGCATGTTCCCAGGCGCCGCCATTTTTAAATGCCCCGTAGTTCGAGCTCCCTGCCCGCGGCGACACGCGGCACGGACTAGGTAGTTTGAATTAAAGCTCCTAATTCGAACGACCGTTACTCCTCTGCAAGGGGACGCAGGGTTCATCGGCCGCGCCGGCTTGGACGCTGCTGCCGTGCGCTCTGGCTCCTGGGGGGTGGTTGGATCCGTTCGGCTGTAACCTCCCTCTGGGGTTGCCTTTTTCTCTCCCGCCGCCTGCCG